CATGAACCGTCTTCTCCCTCTCAAACACTGAGGGTGTGGGCTCGAATCCCATTTGAGGCATGGATGTCTGTGTGCGTTTATTCTATATTTATGTTGTTCTGTATGTAGGTAACGACCTTGCGACGGGCTGATCTACCGTCCAAGGAGTCCTACCGACTGTGAATAAATTTAGAAACTGAAAAATCTGCCCAAGGTCCAAAGGGCTGTAGAACTATAGATAGATAGATAGATAGACAGACAGACAGACGGATAGATAGATAGATAGATAGATAGACAGACATAGATAAATAGATAGATAGATATAGATAGACAGGTAGACAGATAGACAGACAGACAGATAGATAGATAGATAGACAGACAGACAGACAGATAGGTAGATAGATAGATAGATAGAAAGACATAGATAAATAGATAGATAGATATAGATAGACAGGTAGACAGATAGACAGACAGACAGATAGATAGATAGATAGATAGACAGACAGACAGATAGATAGATAGATAGATAGATAGATAGATAGATAGATATAGACACGTAGACAGATAGACAGACAGATAGATAGATAGATGTGAGTCAATCACACGAGTTAACCTGAACCTTTTGTGTCTCTTTAATACTACAGCTGCTTTACTGAAGTAGACTGGAACATGGCAATTGTAGATTACCGAAATGGGGTTATTGTGACGTTACTATGCTGCTCATTTACTCATTACAACTTTGAGTATAATTTTTCCGGCAATTTTTTCTCAGTTAGCTCCGAGGCACCATATTCACATATGTGGTCACCAATATTTCATACTATCTCCACTCCGTCCTGCATGTGGGGATGGCAGACATATGTTTGCCTGGAAGACTAACAGCCGTCTACCAGAGTATAAGAACAATATATTCATCTTGACCACCAAGGAATCCTCGAATCCCACATTCATAGCTACATATTTTTGAGTGAAATTTTTATCATATTTGTATCTTCGAAGATAGATGCTTATTCTCTTATTTCGCGACAGATCAACTACTCAATCATACAGCGTACAACAATGCGCGGTATATTTGTTAAATATAAAACTAAACTGGGAAGGGTCCTGGCTTTCCTTTTTAAGATAAAAATCCCAGAATTTACTTTTTATGGATCGGTATAAATCACGAAAAATCTTTGTCAATATAATCGTTCCCGCCCTGTGATCTTCCACGTTGCCTTCAGAAAGTATCTCTGTGTCAGCGCCAGTGGTAATTACAGTTATCTGGTATCTCTTCGAACTCAAATAACATGCTTATCCTGGTTAATGAAAATCGGGGAATCCATTCGAAAGTTATTCTGAGAAATGCGTTACTTCATTCTGAAACTAGTGCAGGAAAGAGCTGGTTTGAAACTCAGTCTATCACAGTAAAAACGAAGAAATTATGATATTTAGTTTCTTCCCTTCAGCGGTTGTATCTTCTCTGCTTATTGAACGGTATAATTTCATATTCATCTGTGTGCGTTTCTGACAGCTGTTGCAGCATTACATAATGAAGTTGCCCATTGCTTGATATATATTTCATACTCATGTACAATTCGATTTGTGCGGTAGTTCCCTTCTTGTGGTGGGGGGCTGCTTAGCGCGATAACGCAAAATAAAACCTTAATTTTCCACAGACTTAATGTTAAAAATCGGATGCTATCATGCATTTATCTGCTGATCCATAAACTCTATAAAGCTGATTTTATTTTGTTACTTAAAATTAAAATGACGTCAAATAATAAGTTTATGAACACATGCGTATTTAATGGGGGCACGCGGTAGCGTAGTTGCTTGAGGCACTGTGCTATAAGCCGGAAGGTCCCGGGTTTAAGTCATTGGATTTTTTCAGTTGACCTAATCCTTCCAGTCGTACTATGGCCCTGGGGTTTACTCAGCCTCTAACAGAAATGAGTACCAGGAATTAATTAAATAATTTTCCTGAGGTGTAAAGCGTGGCCCGCGTGTAAGGCTGACAACCTTACCGCCATCTTTGAGCCGATTGTCTAGATAATGTGGGACCCTCAACGTCTCACAACCCTATGGGCCTTCATGGCCTGGTACAGGGATAGCTTTACTTTTTTTACTTTTTGCGTATTTAATAGGTTTCGATTAAGGTTCACAGTAATTCCCTTTCAAATGAATGGAAAGAGTTCCCCTCTTAATTTTGGCCAGCATTTGTAATTTCAAGTTGATCAATCGGACACCTCGTGTCCCCCCTTTATCTGTGTTTTACCTGAAGATGGAAATTGAATCAATCTTTGAAACGTCGTAATTTTTAAACGTTTAAAATACGGACAAGGGATACTGTCCAAAGTAAATACTGCAGGAGCGATAACATGGCCAGCTTAGGTTTATTTTTTTTATTTTATGTTTTAATGACATTGGCAGGATGAAACGAAATTGCTCAGGCGGTAATGAAAGCTTTATATCTTGTATGTAGGAGGTGCCTTATTCGAATCAATAATGGGATATCGATTACCCTATCTGAGGCTTTCTTGGCTCCTTTCTGGCATATGTCGGGACACTAGACCACTGCCACCTTCTCCCACACCCTGTCTTATTCATCATTCATTAAACTATCCTACCATCTGACGTTATGTAGTCTCAGCCAATGGAACGTCGTTAAATAACATAAATAAATAACACAGACAACCGAGATGGAGTCTGGAACAGGCTGAGCACTAGACGGGCCCAATACTTTGAAGATACACTGCAGGTATAGTGACAGAGAATCACTTGGTCCACTCCCGAAACTAAAGGCTGCTCCTTATCAATTGGGACAGATTATCCTCGATGGTTTTCGCTGTTCTCTTTAGGTTCTCCAGAAAAATGCCGAGATACTACCTTGAAATACGCCACTGTAGATTCATCTAATTCTAAATCTCGCGTTCTACGCTAAATAACTTAAGATTCTTGATAAAGATTTTTAAAATTAACCGAAAATAAATTAAATTTCAATTTTTAAGCAATTGCAAATTATTTCAAATAAACCGTGCAAAAAAAAAAAAAGAGGAAGAAAGAAGTATGGCTGGCAGAAGCAATATCTATAATTTCTATAAACGTAGCTTGAGGTATTGGTTGGTATAGAGAATTTGACAGTATTCAGTCAATAAAATTAAAGTAAATGGCTTTGTTCTATGGTGTGTTCTCCACATCTATAAACAGCTCCAAGAAAACATAAGCACCTAATGGTAAGATTCTTGTAGGTTTTCGGGGACTTATTTTTAATTGTGTAGGTTACCTTAGGTACGATGATGGTGACAGTTATGAATTAGGGCGAAGCTCAAAGAATATATTTGAAATGTATAAAGAAAAATAAATAATCTTAGGTCGGTCGGAGATTCCATCCGGGTACCCCCCCCCCCACATATTATGTATCGGAAATATCCACTAATTCCGTAGAACAGAGTCATTCTTGAGAAGCTGATAGTCGATTAGCTGTTAAAGAAATTCAAGAAACAATCAAGTATTCTACTGAAGGGATCTTACTTAATTTAAGTCTAGTATATGAATAATTTTATTTAGAAAAACAGGACTTAATATCTCCAATTTATGAATACGGAGACAAATGAACTATTAATTTTCAAATAATAAGATATAATTAAATATGAAATTTTGATGGTTTTTAGTTCAGATATGTAATGATTGTAATAAACATTTTTAATAATATAAAATACGAATAACAAATTATATTAAAATACATTTCTCACCGATAACAGAAGATTTTATGAAATATATTTTTGTTTCAACAATTTTTACCAGAATACAAGGAAAGATAATTTATGTCTCTGTAATATATCTGCATGTTCAGTTCTTGAAAACGGGGGCCAGTGAAGATGAAGTGCATGGAACGCGTCTCTAAGGCATGTACAGTCTGATTCAGAATGAAGTGCCAAACTTGTTTCACAGATACAAGGCTTTCAGAGCAAGCAGGCTCACAGAGAGGATAGTTGATTTGCATGCAAGTGGTACATGCGTTCTCGTACATTTTCGACTAGTGCCATTTATCCTGAGTGTCGCTTATCATTTTCATCATTAGCAATGGGTAAATTCCTGGATAGTTTGTAGATAAGCGACAAACGGTCTGACCTACATTCCCACTGAAGCACACTCATCTTTGACACTCACACGCAAAAAATTGGAACACAGTAACTTAATATTAAAGGGGATAAAAGATTCTGCCTTTCTTTCTGACTCTACATCGCTTATCTGTTTTGCCCTATTATTTTTATTGCTAGTGGGGTGGAACTAAGTCCCTTGTACTGCGGCCACTTCTGGCCTATTGTACCAGCCCCAGATGATAGGTGAGGGTGATTGTGGAGCAATTGGTGGAGTGAAGATTGGCTGGGGAAACCGAAGTGCTCTGAGAAAACCTGCCCCAGCTCCACTTTGTCCACCACAAATCACATTTGACCAGACCCGGGATCGAACCCGGGCCGCCGCGGTGGGAAGCCAGGGACTAAGCGCTTGAGCTGTGGCACGGCCCTTAGTTTTGCCCTAAGACTAATGGAAGCTTCCAGCAGAAGTTATTTTGTATTTGTTTAAATGTTACTCTCTCGAAATAATTGAAAGGCCCAGGATAGCGCAGTCGTTATGGCGACTGATTACGGGCTTGACCACCGAGGGGTCGGAGTTCAAATCCCAGTAGTTACGAATTTTCACTTCTCTATCTTGTCCAGACCGGCTCTGGGGTCCACCCAAACTCATATTTAATGATAACCGGGGGCTCTTTCCCCGAGGTTAAAGAGGCCGAGGCGCGAAGTTTACCATCACCTCAAAGCACAACTGAGTTCAAGAAAACGTGAATATATACATTCACTTCCTCATACGCCTTCATGACGTATTGCTTAATTAGTTAAGCGCAGGGAGAACTTTATATTTTACTTTTTTCCCATAGAACAAAACCGTTTACAGGATGGATTTTTTTTTTCTACGATACTATCAAGATTGAAAAATAAATGAATCACTATATTGGCAGGCCTGTTAGAAAGTGTTACCTGTGTGAAGAGCTTATTGTAGCCCTGCTGACTGTATTGGTGGCTGCTGTAGCCAATCATGTTACGACATGCTCCCGCCTCTCGCTTCTGCACCATGTATTCGGCCGTTTTTAAACTGTCTTTAACACTAGCTCCTAGTAAAAGAAAGCATAATAATAGTGATTGCAGGAGTGGATTGTGCAGAAGTTGCTCACAATATGGTCGGTTGCTGTTGACATCATCTTGGTAACGTTTGAGCAATATGGATGCCAGTTTCACTACAGTCTGGATTATGGTGTTCCAAGGGATCTCAGATAACATTGAGGTAGCAAGGCATTATCTCTTGTCTTCGTTACAATGTTCTTCACTGTTACTATAATTTTAAAAAGTTAAAGGAATTTAATAAATTTGCTAATTATAAAAAACACTCTCACTTAGTGTACACTTCTATTTCCATTAACTTACATATAATCCCACTGAATTCTCATGAAACGTAAATCAGTTCACAATCTGTTGTCTTCATAGCAAGTTCACAAACTGTTCTTGATGAGGACAGGTTCACAACTGGATCCGTTTTTTTTTACTGGACCTACCACCGACACTCTGACCTAGCTTGTAGCAACCGTTAATCAAAATATGGCTTCTAGCCCACGCAAATAATAACAAACCACGATAACAGAAATAAATAAAATGGCGTAGACTTGTATACCACTTCTATTCTGTGTGTCTTGAATGCCAGACGGGTTGTGTAATGCGTGTTGTATATCCTCGCTAGTTCTGTACTCAATGTACCAGTTTGTCTCTACTGCTGCTAAATTTTTCTGCGCATGCGTTGGTATCGATTGAAAACTTGACAGGCAAACCTCTTCCATTTTAGTGCTCTGGTGGGGGTGGTTGTGTGTATATGCCTACCTTTGAGATGAAATAAAATATGTTAGGAAATGTACGAATTGTATAACAATTTTGGCGAATTCTTTCTCTTCTGTTTAATTATCTGGAAATTCGTAAAACTTTAGGAAGAATGTGAACTTGTCAGAAAAATACGTGTTTCGTTTATCTGTACAACGTCTGTTCAGAATTATTTTTCATTCCGATAAATATTTACCGAGTTATTCTAAAGATAAGCCCAAAGCGTGTAGGTGTTCGGACAGAATATCCGTTATTTTTATGTACTTTTATCCAAGCATAGAAAGTAGAGATAAACCTTAACAGAACTCCATAATATCAAGTTTAATGAAAATCCCCTCAGCAGATCTTGAGTTGTTACATGCGAACGGACAGACAGACAAACGGAAGAATATGATGGCGTTTATAGGCGCATTTTTGAAACTGCCCGTTACCAACATTCAGAGAAAAACGAGGCAAAGAAAGAGCTTAAATAAGATTAAATTTTGAGAATATAATGGCAAATATAGATAGCCTCTCGTTCCAACCGTAAAGGCCTGTAGACAACTACCAAGCTTAATTAACGTTCTAAAGAGTTCTGACGATGGTGCATTGGACTTTGTATAATTGATTTCTAACTTTCTCCATGTATAATATTCTAAAATAAAAATTAATCCAGGAAGGTAGTAATACCCAAGATTATGTATAGCTGTTCAGTTGCTTTGTGGTCTGTTTAAAACTGAACTTACTTACTCATGGAGCTGAGCCCTTCTTGAGGAGCCGCCAATTCTGTAGCTACTCAAGAATTTTCCAGCATTTTATGGAACTAATAGCAAATATATTGCTCTAAATTATTATTATATAAATTGCATTGTTTTCATTGTTTTTGTTTTCCCTTTACTCATGCTTACTTTTTAATTTCCCTTTGGGTTATTAAGGGCACGCGGTAGCGCAGTTGATTGAGGCACTATGTAACAAACCTGAAGTTCGTGAGTTCCATTCCCCGATGAGGTTATCGAATTTTTCAATTTACTTAATATTTCCAGCGGCACTGTGGCCTTGGTATCCACTCAGCCTCTAGCACAAATGAGTACCAGAAATAATCCGGGGGGGGGGGCGGAGCTTAAGGCTGGCAGCCTCACCGCCATCTCTAAGCCCATTGCCTAGAAACTGTGGGAGCCTCGACGTCTCACAACCCTATGGGCCTCCACGGCCTGTTACAGGGATAGCTTTACCGTTTTACAATTACCTTTGGGTCGTTAATTCTGCACGTAAATAAATAAGAATTTGGTTTAATTTAATTTCTCTTATTGCTGCTATTATTATTTATTTAATCGTTGCGTTTTATGGACTGTTTAGTTTAAGGAAATTTTGAAACATTATGATGTTTTTACTAGTTCTTGATGTATGTCACTAGTGTAGTCAAACGTGAGTAAACTAAATACTAGAACACATAAGGAAAAGAAATTAAGTTTTATATGGAATTACACCAATCCTTTAGTTTATAACAAAATACACTTCATCTCTAATTCAACTCGGCATAAGCAGTAAAAACAGAGATTCTGTTGTTGGTATCATTCGTAAAGGTGAAGTGTCTCTTCTTAAGTATGCGCCCCACGGGAAACACCCACGATGGAGTGCAGGTATAGTTCTACACATTCGTAAACTCCGTTTCATTCATGCGAGTAGCTACAGAAAATCTGATTCACAGAGCGTTTCGTTATTTTTTTGGTTAACTGTACCCTCGGATAATCATTCAGCATCGGAACAAGCATTAGCTCTCCGGATATCTATTGGGCAGGTAACTTTTCATTCATTCATTTATTTTAAAATTCCATGAATCCTCTCTGGTCACAATGTGCCTAGGATGTAGAACATGTCATGTTACTATATGTACTGCAGTAACTAACGCAGGTAAATAGTTACCATTGTCACGATCATGTTGTCAAAACTAAATCATGATATATATAATTCGATAGCAGTCTAAAATATACGATTCATAAAATTGAAAAAATTAGTATATAATAAAAATTCCATAGGTACAGACGTAAAATACTATTATTAATACCTTGTATTAGTATTAGTTGTTAAAAATAATTCTTATACAGGATGGAAATTAAATTAACCATTTAAATAGCAGATGGACTATACATTCTTGTCTTCAGTATACTGATAATATTCATTCATTGAGTAAAAAGAATGTTGACATAAGAACCTCTTCAGTGTAGATTTAAAAATTTAGCATTATTGGCTAAGGTCTTTATTGACTGAGGGAGGTGATTGTGATTTCGCGTGATATGAATCCCGACTAAGTTGTCAGCCATCTTATCTGAGAATATTTTTTTTTATTTTCCTCAGGCTTCCGTGACAATAGTCTGCCTCGAGAAAAGAACGAGCCCCTTCTGCCAAATCCTTAGATCCTTAGCATTCATGATCACCTTTCCATCTTTATTTCACGTTTACGCAGTTGAACAAAATTTATTACAGAATCAATCAAATATATCTGTAGGGATGTGGGTGTAATGACGTCACGAATTTCGCTAACAAATATTGTAAGATAGTATACGCATCATGAATGTAAACGATTCTGAAGATGGATCGCTGTATACATTAAGCTATTGTTTGGTCGTCTCTATGCAACATTGAAAGAATGGTTATTTTGTAAAGGCGTACTACATAGTCAAGTTGTTACGTATACATTTCTGGGCATGGGATTTATTTTAGTAGGTACTGAAAGTTACTGTCTTTATTGTGGTTGGCCACACGTTCAAGCACATAATCTGCCCAGAATACGAAGTCCTGTGTTTTTAATTAAGTACTCAAAATAAATCGAACTACCTCCTTAAAATTTGCGAAGGATTCATGTAATTTTCAATGGATGCATCTTGTTGTGTTAAATATATAAATTTCTTTATTAAAATTCGTCACAACACAACAAAAAAACAGTTGATGTTTAACCGTATTTTGCTACATGCTTTCTAAAAAGCAGAAACATGTAGCAAAATACTGTTAAATATCAACTGTTTTGTTGTGTTGTGGCGGATTTTAATAAAGAAATTTATATTCATGTAAGATCTGTCATATATATAATGTAAGATAGTTAAAAATGTATATAAGCATGTAATATGGAATTCAGTCGAAACGGTTCTACTTTTAATTTTAATGGCAGTGATTGATCTTAGATCATTTCAGAATTTCCAGTCAAATTCAATGCTAATATTGATCCTGTCTACACAAACAATACAGCTCACACCTGACATATCATCGCTTCCAAACAGAATCAACATTAATGGTTCATTTGTTACTGTGCAGTACAGTTTATTATACAATGTCCAGGAGATATTCAATATTCACTACATTTCGAGTGTTTATTCTAGACCTTTCTTCATGTGATTTTTGTCGTTACAGAGGCAACAATTTTTTTATGTTTCAGATGTTAGTGACAACGTCTCGCATTGTACTCAGAATTTTTTGTATATATAATTCGTATACTAGGGACCGCGCCATAGCTCAAGCGGTTAGTCGCTGTCTTCCCACCGCGGCGACCCGGGTTCGATCCCGGTCTGGTCAAGTGTGATTTGTGGTGGACAAATTGGCGCTGGGGCGGGTTTTCTCCGAGTACTTCGGTTTCCCCTGCCAATCTTCATTCCACCAATTGCTCCACAATCACCCTCACCTATCATCTGGGGCTGGTACAATAGGCCAGAAGTGGCCGCAGTACAAGGGACTTAGTCCCACCCCACTAGCAATAAAAAAAATAATTCGTGTACTAACCATCGGAAGTTTATTTAATATTTATTTATTTATATTATACTTGTTCTTTCACGATATATGTAGCGGTTTCATTGTGTTATATACCAACTGAGGTGAATGTAATTACGCAGTTCTCGCGTGTTTCTTACCAATAACAAAACCTGTTTACTTATTCTATCTGTATCATTAATGAAAGCGAACACAAATTGAGATTTGAGAGTAATGTTTTCGTTTGTCACACAAGATTGATGAGTTCTTCCCATGAAATCGCAAGTTACTGCGATACAAAGGCTGAACTTTATGAAGATACTTTTCAGTAAATTCAGACAGCCGATAATGGGCTGAAAGATTAATGAAGGTTTCTTGGTGCCATCAGAAGCGCACTTGATCCTTGAGATGTCACAAAGCTACGCATCACACATCTCGCACAGACAATGCTCTCTTCTGACTCGGTTGTCAGTGCTGCTTTTAGCCTTGCATCTTTCTAGAACGGGGAATAGTAGGCACTGGGTGTTTAAAAAACTAAGTTTATGTCCAGGGATTACCATATCTTTAGCTTTTTGCATTCTGTATGTATGTTAAAGCCGATCTAGGAAGCCGAGATTAACGGCCGTGGGAATCCGTTGCGCTGAACACGCGACACTCTCTATTAGCCAAAGCTGGTACTAACTTCGTCTACAAGCGGCGGTTGCTCGGTTGGTATAGTTCGCTTGCGGACTACATGCCATGGAGTTTGTTTGTTTGTATGTGTTTTAAAGTCCTGATTATTTTATTAGCCGTTTCGACGGTTAGTAAAATAACAAGAAATTCATGATTCCGAGTCCAGTATTTTAGCGACCTGGTTACACACTTATATTTATATTATTTGTAGCGTAACTGGCCTCGTTTCACGTTGGCCAGTTGGTAAGACTGATGTTGAAAATAGTGTGGTGGTGGTGGTGTTATTATTGCCTTGTCTTAGTTCACTGTTGAAATTTTTAAGTGTTTGGAATGTCTGATTAAATTTATGTGTTAAAAAGTGTACCCAATATTTTATAAATGACCATGTGTTTGTGAAGCACTGGGTCGTTTGAAGTGCTGAATTAGTTTCACGGCAAGTAAAGACTCGTAGAGACGAGTAAAATACAGGGTGTCAGGATGAAAGGTATCCAAAATAAAATAGTTATGTTTCAGAATGTTTTTATTATACACATTTATGGGTGGGCTCCCTTGGTGGCACGACAGATATCCAGATGATCCAGCATGTTTGGTGTTACCATGGTCACAGCGTCCCTTATGATGGGCTTTCAGGTGTTGCAGGTCATTGATCTTAACCTGGTAGAAAATGTTCTTCATATAACTCCACAAGAAGAAATTCAGTGGGGTTAAATGTGGCGACCTAGGAGGCCAAACAATTGGTCCACTTCTGCCGATCTATCTCCCAGCTATCACTCTGTCCAAGTGATTCCCAACATGGTGGCAAAAATGTGAAGTCGCATGCGCGTAAGCCGGGCAAGAAAACAAAAACTTACAGGGTTTTCCTCTCCGATGACACAAACAGGATACGTGGATGACAATTACTTTCCGATATATACATTTTTTATTTTGGATACCTTTCATCCGGACACCCGATATAGAAAGCAGTCATCGACAGGTTTACCATGAAATAAATTAGTGCAGTAACCCATAAATGCATGACGATTTGTAACATTCATGCAGTCATCAATGAATCTCGAGCCCTTTGTTGGGTCTTGCTTTCTTCTACAGTTCCGTAATCATTTTTCACAGTCGGTAGGACTCATTGAATGGGAGATCAGCCCGTCGCAAGGCCGCTACCTACACAAAGAACAATATAAACACACAATAAACGCGCACACATACACCCATGCCTTGAGTGGGTTTCGAAACCACGATCCCAGAATTCGAGATAGCGAAGATACTTCATGCCTTAGACTTCGTGGCCACTGTGATCAGATGATTTATAACATACCGGATTTAATTCTGAACATAAATTTACTCAAACATTCCAAATATTTAACACATTTTGGCAATGAAGTAAGACAGTAAAGTAATGTATTCCTTCGTCCGCTCCTCTCAACATAAACAGGAGTATAAAAATAATTTAGTATATGTCGTTTTAGAAAACACTTGTCAGCATTGGCCGGTGTATAACAGTAACAGAAATTACTTTCAAAGTAATATAAATGTAGCCTGTCGATGACGTAATGCCGAAATTATGTGGCTGCACTGAAGTAACAAATTCCTTTATACACAAAGTGGTGCACGAGATGGACTGTAACACGAACCACAGTATGCTGCTCCGAAGAATATTTCACTTTAATTCCTTAATTTAAACGTTGTTCTTTGTTTAATGTTTAAGCTACGGAAAGGAACAATATAGATGTACTTATTCCACTTCTTGTCTCTCAGCGCGGACCTAGTGGAGATCACCGAAAGATTCGAAATGTACGCCGTACTTTTGGAGATGGGTACCGCAGCTACGACTTCCAAAGAGATGTTTTTTGTTCGCTTAGGGATCATTTTAATTCGTGTAATGAGGTTTTACTCAGGTCTCTCTGGTAGAGTTACGACGGTGTATTTTTTTCAGTCTATGTGTAGTTTCGCTATTGTCCAGTAGTGAGATTTTCTAAATTTCTTAAGTATTTGATATTCCACAGTGTTTTGTAGATCTTCATATGTCCTGTGGTTGTTTATGTACCAGAGTACATTCAGAATGGATTGGAGGGTCTAGGATTGAGTCAATTTTATTATATAAGTATAACCTATTTCTCAATTTTGGCGTAGTTCGTTTAGGCATTATGCTACAAGTCGAAAGGTCTCGTGTTCGAGTCCAGATTTGGTGGGTTTTTCAATTGACCTAATCCAGCCGCACTATGTCCCTGGGGTCGACTCAGCCTCTAACAGAAATGAGTACCAGGAATATTCTTGGGGGTAAAGAGTAGCCGGCGCGTAAGGCTGACAACCTCACCGACAGCTGTGAGACGACTGTGTAGAAAATGTGGGATCCTCGACGTCTCACAACCCTATGGGCCTCTTACAGGGTTAGCTTTACCTGACTTTTACCTATGTTGTTGACACGGAAACGACCGCCTCTGTGGTCTAATGGTCAGAGTTCCTGGCTACAGATCCAGAGGTTCCGGCTTTGATTCCCTGCGCTACCAGACTTTCTGAGTAATGGGTCTGGAACGGGGTCCACTCAGCCTCATGAGGATAATTGAGGAGCTTTTTCAAGGAAATAGCGGCTCCGGTCTAGAAAACGGAGATCAACATCCGTAAGGATCATTTGCGCTGACCACGCGACACACTCTACCTGCTGAAGTTGGCACTAAATACGCAGACAAGCGGCGGTCGCTCGCTCGGTCAGTATAGTTCGCTTGCGGACTACAGGCGCTTGTTTGTTTGATGACAAGGAAAACGACAATTTCTGTAATTTCTGTTGTCTGTTTCCTAACGTGGGCATAACTGAGAAGAGTCAGAGATAGAAAATTCAGTTAATGTTGTTACTACTATCTGAAGTAACCATTGCTGTTGAATAGAGTATATGAGTATATATAGTATATATAGAGTATATATGGTTGTACCTAGGAACTGAGAATTATTGCATTGTGATATGGGGTTTCAGGACTATCAATTACGACGGAAGAAACACTGGAAAATCTCGACGTTTTCACCACCAAAATCAAAACCGAAGAATTCTGAAAAAGGTGGGGTGGACGTAGAAGAAGAAAAATTGGTAAGTCATGTCACTTATTCTCTTACAGTTACTGCGCACCATGTTCCTCAGTTCATGTCCACAGGGGTAGAAATAAGAGATAAGGAAACTGCTGTGACCTACTGTATATACTGTTCGGAATCTCTGTGTTATGTTCTTGTGCCAGGGGCACGCGTCCTTGTCTTATTCTCATGCCAAGATTTGTACAGCCATGTAAAAACTAATGTTAACACTACAATTCTGGATCCGTTGAGACGCAAAATTAAATGTGTAAAAGAATTATTACGTGTATAATGATTACAGACGTGGTTTGGAATGGTAATCGGCCTTATTGAACAATAAAACGACTCGTGACTACATTTTACAAATCACTTTCACACACAGAGTAGTGCTATCAGTCAGGGTCTTCATTCCGCTGCTTGGTAGCGGCTTCCAACTCTGTAGCGTCGTCGGCTTCGTGTCCAACGGCTCCTGTCCTCGCTGGCTGGCACCTTTCATCTGCAGCTCCTGATCTGTACTAACTGGCTTCTAAATGCTGAACTAATTCACGAAGTCTGAGTCGAAGTTTTGTTACGACCGACGGTCAGCTGGTCATTCTGTCTTGGTATCAGGCACCTATGTGGGCCCCAAGATCAGATTTTTTTTTATTACTGTCAGACAGTTTCGGGGTTGTTTATGTGGAGCGCCATTTCTGGCCAGAGGACGAGTGTGTCGTATACGTTTGCTGCTGGTCCTCGACAGTACAGTCATTCTCGGGTCCGAGTCCCGCGGGACTCATGACCATATTTTACTCTCTCAGATTGGAGACTCCTCCAACCTGGTGGGCCAGGTCTCCATATTGATATCCCCCAGGAACAGGATATCATAGTTATACTCCCAGACACTGAGCTCCATTCTCTTCGCCTCCTGCGACTCGCAGTGTTAGAGGAGGGAGCATTCGAAATCACCTCCAAAAACAAAAACAAAATAAATTCCGTGGCCTGTAGTCCGCAAGCGAACTATACCGACTGAGCTACCACCGCTTGTCGGCGAAGTTAATGCCAACCTTAGCGGAAAGAGGGTGTCGCGTGGTCAGCGCAACGAATTCCCACGGCCGTTAAATTCGGTTTTCTAGACCGGAGCTGCGATTTCCTTGAAATAGCTCCTCAGTTATCCTCACGAGGCTGAGTGGACCCCATTCCAGACCCATTACTTCTCAGAAAATTTGGTAGCGCGGGGAATGCAACCCAGGAACTCTGGATCTGTAACCAGGAACTGTGACCATTAGACCACAGAGGCGGTCTTTCAAACTCACTTCCGCTCGGAGATACTCCGCACCGAATAGAAAACAGCTCTCTCGACAGTTCTTCTATTTTTGCATCATGTAACTATCAGCACGGACCGCGTAGAGAACTTTGCTTCCCATTTACTCCATTGTTTGACTTCACAATTTTGTCTTTCAGCACACATGCCACAGTATATTTTCAGGTTGAAAGAAATTCGTACAAGATGATTCTTAACCGCTGAAATATCTAGAACTCAGTAACAATTCTGACGTAACTACGAATAGAATACTGTAACAGATATGATAAAAACATTGCCAGGCAACGGATCAGTAAGCACTTCCAAATATGCTGCAGTATAACGGAAACTGTTTTCTATGCGGTCTACACCAAGCAACAGTAGAACAAAGGGGTTATGCAATCCGTTTCTAGCAACGTTTCGGTAAATTTATTTCCGGGTATCGCACCGTATTATGCAAAGCGGTGACGTCATCAACAACAGAACTGTGTTTTCTATAAGATCCGTGCCGCGGATATATAACGAGAACTGTGAGCTGTAAGTTCAGAGGGAACTGGAACTAGGAGGAGAGGGTGATTGAAGGCGACTGGCAAGAGGACTTCATAATGCTTTGAAGTGCTAGTTTCTGTGTTGAGATCCGTTGCCAGGAGACGACTAGTGAAGATGGAGAATTCTAATGCGTGTGCAACGGTGAACTGGAAATTGTTTAAATCAGCGCTAGCGCTGTATTTAAGTGTGATTAAGAGAATTTGTAACTGAAGTGCCAATAAATCCAGTCATTCGAATTAGAACCCGTTATTTTCGCCACGCGTACCTTCCTACACGTGGCAATACAAATGTAAAGATGGGTTCATTTTGTTGTACATATAATTTTATACGCGTTATTTGCCAGTCGGTGTTAATTATTGCCCTTGATTTTTTTATTGTCAATACAAATCTGTTATTGAAAATCCCTTCACTCTGCATTATGTCTGATACTGCGTATACGTGAATAATTGTCTGTTATTATGGCTCATGCTCCATGTCGAATTTGAATCCAATTTAGAAATGTAGTTCATGTCAGTGTTGGAAATTACTTTTCAAATCTAGGTGGATGCATGGAGAAATTACCTACAAATATAAAAAAAAAATACAATATAGGCTGGCGAATTCATTCTTACATGTTTCATTATTGGACTCGACGTGTATGATGTTTGAAGGCACTGGAAATACCTTTGTTAAAATGAAGTGCTTTAGAAGATAATAGATGGCGTCCACACTGCTTCTGCCCTCATTTCTACTCCTACTTCATGGGGAATCTGTGATTTAATTATCATAGTTACTGTCTACAGATCCAGAGGTTCCGGGTTCGATTGCTGGAGCTACCAGATTTTCTGAGAATTAGTTGGTCTCGAATGGGGTCCACTCAGTCTCATGAGGATAACTGAGGAGCTATTTCAAGGATTAACAGCCGTGGGGATTCGTTGCGCTGACCACAGGACACCCTCTATCCGCAAAAGTTGGCATTAACTTCGCCGGCAAGCGGCGGTCGCTCTGTCGGTATAATTCGCTTGCGGACTAAAACCAAGGAGTGAGGAATAAAGGAATAACGAAATTGTGATAAACCCAGCGCGGGTTCAAGGAGAAGTTAACGCCCCAGCTATCTAGATCTGAAAGCCATAATCTATTTTGTGGATAAACTAACAGAAACCAGAAACGAATAATTACGAAGGAAATATGAAAAAGTTTTTATCCGTTTGTCGCATAATACTCATAAGAAAAGTCGCATGACGCACGCGAATTTTTATTATAATTGTTGTTATTATAAAGAGCATATTGTTGTTGTATGCCCAAGTTTCGTGATTATGAACTGCATGTGTTGTGTAGTTACTTACTGCACGAACGGCTGCGGTGTTTCTGTAGCATGATTTGAAATTATTAAAAGTATACAGCTATTCCCGACGTCCGAAGTGTCATTAAAAGAACATGACATGAATCCAAGCCTGCAATATTCAAGTTTATAAATAGAACAGTGACGTCAGGTGCTGTTAATGCACCTCCAGACCTCTTTGAGTGCTCTTTGAAATACATGTCAATGTTATTCAATTAGTGGTCCGCTTCACCAAAGAAAAATAAAATTATTCGCAGTTGAAGTTGTAACTGCGGTATATAGAAGTGAGACATGAGTCTAGTGGTCAGGGTTCCTGCCTACAGATTCAGAGATCCCGCGTTTGATTCCCTGCGCTACCAGATTATCTGAGAAGTGGTGGGTCTGGAGCGGGGTCCACTCAGCGTCGTGAGGATAATTGAGGAGCTATTTCAAGCAAACAGTGGCTCCGGTCTAGAAAACCTAGATTAACGGCCGGTGGGATCCGTTGCGCTGACCACGTGACACACTCTGTCCGCTAAAGTTGGCACTAACTTCGCCGACAAGCGGGAGCCCGTCGGTCGGTATACTTCGCTTGCGGACTACAGGCCACGGAGTTTATTTGTTTCTTTGTTTGTTAAGGGTAGAGACACTGGAAATAAACGTGTTGGAGTAGAGACGCAGACGTTCGGTATATGCTTCTTGGTTTATTTAATCATTCCTCTTCAACTGGAAACGTTACATATTATCGAATAAGCTGACGGATATTAACCTGGAAATTAATATCTTTCAAGGCAGGTCTATTATTTGCCTGGAGGAACGGAGGAAACCCACTAACGTTCAAGGTCAAAATAGTAGGTCTCGGGGCCGATATTCAAACCGAGATTTTTATGACTTGATTTTTTATTTGGTTTTTTGGCGATTATATTTCATATACAGAGATTGTATAAAGTCAAAATAGGAAGATGATAATGAATTATGAATAAATGTGGATTTGAAAGGAGCTGATAGTGACTTATTTTAAAATATCCAGTTCTTAATCTCGAGACTCAGTGAAACAGTGAATAAAGGCAGTCACAGTAACCATGCCCTGGTCTGGATTATAACCAAATACTTCCGATTGGAAGGTAGACTTGCTGACTCAACAGTTGTTTCGTCGAAAATTAGGTCGCCTGTTCACCAGTGGCTCCCAGTAAATTTTGGAGATTTATTTACCACCTGGAATTCGGGATTTCTGTTGCAAATTTCTGGGAATCTCACTCGAGCGCTTGTGATACACATGGAAGAGCGAATATCAACTGAAGACGTTAAGAACAACTCAATCAATAAGTCATGGCAGTCGATTCTAAAATTAAATTTCTCCACTGCTTTGTGCTTAACGTGCTTGTATTCAGGACAACAGTTCTAGAAAAGAAGGAATCTAATTTTGCATGCAGAACAGAAGGAAAAGGGATAACAAGGTTTTAGAAAATGCTGCTGCGCCTTTCTATGTCGACCAAAATATTAAACTTGCTTCAAGATTTCCAAAACTTTCTCGACGCCTGATTGTAATTGTTGAATTGGAACGAAATGTGCAAGATAACATGGTTTATCTAAGGAACCATTGAGGCACCTGCCTGAAGGGACTGAAGAAAACCACTAATAATAACAATCAACCAGTGTTTATGATATGAATCAAATCCTGGATTTTCCAAATACAGAGAAAGATTTGTTGTTCTCCTGTAAGATTATAATAGTGGCTGATTAATAACAATGTATTTACATTACTTAATGTATACCACGTTTCGGGAGTTGACTCTGTTTGTGTCTCGAAATGATCGATTGTTGTTTTACTGTCCTACATTTCAAAACTAATGCCACAAATCATCATCATACACCAGCCATTTTGTGCCAT